GACACGACGTCATGGCGACCAGGGCAGACATTCCTCCAGAGATAGCGCCCAAGCTACGATATTACACTAAATAAACTAAACCCATCTTCGTCATGGCCCTACGGGAGGAAAGAAAGCTCAGGGCCTTGATCCTGAGTGACAAAAATATTCAGGTAACTTAGTTTAAGTTTAGGATAAATTTAGTATCGACCTAGGATAACTTTTGCTAAGTTTATTTTGACACTCTATATTAAGGTCTGGTTTTTTCTTGCTCCCTGAGGGTGGCCATCCCTCAGCCCTGAGCCATCACTCACCATCCCTGCCAGGGTCTCGCCAGGATCAAGGCGTAAGGGCGCGCTCGCCAGTAAGAGCTCAGGTTCAGGCGTCAAGCGATTGATGTGAGTGAGAGCTGGTTGGCTCATGGTCATTGGACTCTTGACTGACTCGGTGGTACTGTACCTTTGAGAACAAATTGAGTGGCTATTGGCTTTCCAATTCAGGATGAACGACCATCAGTAACGAGTTGAGCAGCGCTAAGCACCTTGTTTGCCACGGTAGCCCAGTGAAAGAATAATAATGCGTGGAAATGCGTGGACAGGAATGGGATTGGTCGACTTTATCTAAGCCTCCCAGGTACAGACAAGTCGGCTTGCAATTGACGGTGCAACGGGCAGCACACTATCATGCGTGCTCTACGCCATGTTCATGCTTGAGCCATGTCGAGGGAGGGGAGAACTCTAGAATCCTTATTCCAAATGACAAAAACCTTGGGGAATTATCCCAAACATGGAGGGAGGCCTGCGTGCTGAACTTATTTTGGCATCTGCTATTTAGTCTCGTTTTCATGCTCCCCAAGACTAGTTGAGGGGTTTTACATACAAGTTATTCCCTCGACTCCCACAGGTCCCCAGTTGTTTATTAGGTATGTACAAAAGGCCTCCGGCTTCTCACCCGTAGAGTCCAGCATGGGGTCCGGGCCTTCGGTCTCCCCCGTAAAGGCTCCACGAAGCATAAGGGCCCCAGGTTCCTGAAACCCGGGCGTCGAGGCTTCAGTGAATAGTTTCCTTGAAATGAGAGGCGGCGTCTCTTTTAAAAGCGCATGCCGTGAGTGGCTGACGGTTGAAGATGAGCGGTTTGAACGGCCTACCGGATTAGGGAACCCAGTACTGAAAGCGGCAGAGTGCTCGTCTTATTCGAGATCTAACTGTCCATAGGTAATTATTAATGCTGGTGTCACGTTCTGGAAGGGCGGTGTCAAGCAAGCGTTGAGGACCGCTAGTTTGGGCCGATCTATGGATCGCCGCCTCATTGAGATACTCGGCGAGTCGTCGTCTCGTCTCGTGTATTCTGTACCAAGACAAGCGAGGCAATTCAAGCGACAAGTCCGGGTAGGTTGCTCACGGTTCCGAATGGTTGATGATGCTTATTAAGAATGATTGGCTGCGTTGCCATCTGCGTGAGCATGCTGTTGATGTGGAAACGGAATGTGATGTGACTTGAAGGGAGCATCTTGAAGGCTGTGATTGTCGTTGAACAATGCGCACACATAACACACCCCGCGCGTCGCACGGCATCGAATCGCATGACGTTGGATGGTCTCGGGCCATTCCATCTCATTTATTAATATGGCTGTTATTATACCTGTTCTGATTCCATGGTAGGAAACATGGCAGTGTCAGGTATGTCAATGGGAAGCGGTGGCGTTGACGGATGTTGTTTTGTTTTAGATTCAAAGAGACCCGACCCTTGTCCTGTATAGACAACGAGAGATGACTACTTACTGACTTGTTAACGTTGCAGGTATTGTAATGCCAGTTAACAAGCTTTGTCTAAACCTACATCTATACGAGAATGTAAAATACAACCATCCTATTGTGAATTTAACTGCCGTTATTACTCTCTTTATCCATATTCTTTTTTTCATCCAAACTCCCATACCTTTGACCGTCACATACCCTGAACTCATCGCCCAGGCTCAAGCCCCCGCTAAGAGCCCCTAGTGGATTCATAGCACGTTCCTCCCCAGGCCTTGGGCCCCATAAGCCCAGGTACCTCCCCCACTACCTAGCGGAGGTACCTCACCGAACCATCAACCACTGGTACTGGAGCTGGTACTGGTGGGTGCCCTGACCGTCGGAACCACGCGCCCAGTGTCACTTGGGTCTCCCTTTACAGCCGCTGGTCTCTTCCACCTCTTTACTAAGTAAGGTACATGATCGCTCGACTTGACTCGCCTCAAATCACTTTTCCATATTCTCTTTTAACCGCCTTCACGTTTCCTCATCCTTCAAGTGCTTTCTTCCTCAGTAACCCTCTTCTTTTCCTACGAGGGCTGCTTTTCTCTTCTTCTTCGCGTGGTCACCTCGATTTCAGCTGAGCTGTCGCGACACCGCCTCCAAGAGCTGAGTTCGAGGTACAAGTCCCTCCGCCTTTCTCCTCTCAACCCCAACTCCAAGCTACCTACCTCACCTACACCACCACGCCTCGAGCTACAACAGCTACCAAGTATAGCCTCTCCACCTACAACAAAAACCCGTCCATATCACCTCGGATCTATCTCAAATCTTGATCCACCCCCGCCTTTCTGCCGCGCTGAATGCAATACCGGACTCTGTCGCCAGCTTGTGATTGCTTCACGCCCTATTGCTGCGCCTCTTGTCAAAAGCAACCCGAACTTGCAGCCGCCGGCAGAGCTTCGTAGAACCGCCGCTGACGATCTTTACTACCGGGTCGAATAAATCCCCCAGAAATCCACGCCGTTGCTCGTCGGCCAAGACTCGTTCAAGTTTCGGGCACCACATGCCACCGTTTATCTTCTGACGAATCCGGTTGGTCTCAACTCCCATCCGTGCCGTGCTGTACCGTATCACATTGTATCGTATCGTATCCTGCCTCCACCCTCGATTACCAATTTCGAAATGGAGCCAGTTCCCGAGACAGAGCGTATGGAGGAGTTCCGTCCTACTCCTACACCTGCTCCCGCACCCGTATCTGCCTCTGCCTCTGCATCCTCATCATTGTCTGCGTCACCCTCTCTATCTCCAGGATATCCATCGCTGCGACTTCAGAGCCCCAGCGCCTTTTCCAACCTCAGCATCGAATTGCCTCGAAAGCCGCCAAACCTGAGACGAAGCACCGACCCCAGTCCGACATCGCCAGCTTCACCATCTTGGTCTGCGACACCCTTTCTTCCGTATCGACCACGCACCACTTCTCCGCTCTCAGGCGCTCATTCTAGGTCTCGTTCTACAACCAGTCTTGCGCCCCCAATGTCTCGTACTCAATCCATGCCAGGCGTCAATGGATCAGGCCATATTCTTTTTTCGCCGCAGCACCGTCCTGGAAGCCCCTCTGGATCACCTAGCAGAGTCCGCATTCCGCGAAAGCCTGCCGATGAAGCTTTCCCGCCAATTTCTCCAGTTCGAACTTCAGTTCTCGAGCCTGAGCAAATGCATGAGCAACGAAGTACCTCTCCCATCATGGGGGTTTCCACAAGCACCCCCGTCCGACTACGACGGCCATCTTCTCCTCTTCGAACATTCACATCTTCGAGCACTGGCTCTCTAGGCACATTTCCATCAACACCATCCTCTTCCATTTCCTCGACATCCTCTTATCGAAGCTACGATGCCCTTTCCGGAAGCTATGGCACAACTTACTCGTCGGTTCCCTCCACGCCAACATCAACCAGGTCCCGAAGCCCTAGCATCTCCAGCCTGGAAACAATTCCCGACACGCCTGATGCCGAAGAAGCAGCGCTGGAAGCTGAAAGAATTGCCCAGCTCAAGGCCGATGCAGATGCTGCAGAGGGGAATGAGTCCTCCGACCTGAAAGGCAAGGATGGCCAGACGCGAGGCCGTACGATGGGTTTTGGCTCCAGAGACAAGCGAAAGCGTTGGAGTGTATGCGGTGCTGAGCGAAGAGGAGATCTCGATCTTGAGACTATCTGGGAGGACTGATCGGCGCAATGCCGAGGCAGAGCCAGATGTAGATGAACGATTGAGATGGAATATCTCAAGAGGGGCCACGGCGTATGACGGACTTGACTCGAGCTAGCCTGGGACAATGCTCGATTTTACATGATTGCATCGCGGGACGGCAGGTTATTGATGATTTTTGCGGCATAAGCATATGGTTTTTTTTGTTGTTGGTTTTTTGTTAGCTTTTTACAAAGGGCACGACGGCGATTGCGTGGCCCTCTTGATACCCATTCCTGCACGTACGGACTGTTCGACAGGAAGAACCACGCAGACACACTATGATTGACACACAATGATACTACCATACCCACAGATCACGCCAGTTGAATTGGCTGTGAAGGGCACACTGAGACGAATCGCGTGCAATTTTTGTTATCTTGATTGGACTCAGCAACGCGTTGTCTTACGACGTGGTCGTGCAACTTGTAAAGAGTCAAACGCGCGCGAGATGAATAAATTGCCCTTTATCGAATCGACGACATATGAACAATAGATTATTACTATTACTATCAATCTCCCGTCCACCTTGAATTTGTCTCATATCGAGTTGTCTGTCGAGCAATAAGGTTGTCGCAGTCGCGCTCTAGGGGCATGATTGGCAATGGAATATTCATAAATGTCTTTGATTCCCTGGCCTTGTCGACAAATTAATTGCTTCTTCCGCCCTTTGTCCCTATTGTCCCATCAAGATCGAGGCTGTTTGGTTGGTGCGAACTCCCTTGAATCGATAAAGTGTCCCCGCTTCACCACCAAAACCGCCGCCCTTCTGTATTCAGCAAACATCCCTCTTTCAATATAGCACCCTTTCTGACATCAATTTGTTCAATATTCAACTTCAATATTTCTACCCTTTGACTTATACGCAGCTCCTTCAGAAAAACCCTTGGGAAAATGAAGCCGTACTTAAGGATGATGGGATGCGTCCCGAAAATGAATATCTCACCACCAGACTCAGCATCGCCTTCACTCTCACAAACAGCCTCGCATTCTCTTGGCTACTCTCATTCTTGTCTTCAATATTCATAGAGTCTCAATCTAAAGATGCGTCTGCCTGCAATTGTTGGTGCCGTCGGCCTCCTGGGCACGGGAGTGGAAGCTGCTCCTCGAGGTTCTTGGTTCAGTTCTGTATGAGCTCTATCACTTACACTAGTAAACACAATCTAACCATTGACAGTTCCAGCAGCATCGAGTTGCTCGGTCTCCCAATGGAAACGCCTACGACCCTCCCAGCTATACTCCCGTGAACACATACACTCCTGTCGACACATACACTCCTGTCAACACCTACGCGGCCACCAAGAACACCACCACACCGACAACTCACTCGACAACTCTTGAGCCAAGCATCCAATGTCCTTCTAACTACGTGTTTGTCTCTACCAAGACTGTCGATGTCACTGTCACTGTCACTGCTTCTTCCAATGGATCTTACTACACCACTGCTGTCTGCCACGACTGCACCAAGACCTTGACCATTAGCAACACCATCTACGTGCCCCCTAGCAAGTATGCTTCAACCATGCCATACGGCGAGCAGAACTCCGGATCTCCTTATCCCGCCAACTCGACCTATGCGGCGCCTTCTCAGACCAAGAATGACTACCCTTACATGAACTCTACTATTGGATACTCTGCCTCTACGCCCACCGGTTATCAAACTCCTGGACAGAGCGCAGTCTACAGCACTGCCAATGGCTACGTCTCTCCTCCTGTCTACACTAAACCGGTCTATACCAAGCCTGTGTACTCGGACCCTACTTATGGTAACTCCACTGGCACACAGTCAGGCTATGTCCCTCCTGTGTATACCAAGCCTGTCTATTCCTCAGTTGCTACTGGAAATGGAACAGTCCCCGTGTACACTAAGCCTGTAGATACACCGACGTACTCGGCTCCTGTCTACACAAAGCCCATCTTACCTGGCAACTCTTCGACTTATGAGACTCCCACTTACACCAAGCCCGTCGATAGCCCCATCTACACGCCTCCGGTCTATACCAAGCCAGCCTACTCCCAGCCTGTCATTCCTGGAAACTCATCCACCGTTGATCCTCCTGTCTACACGAAGCCTGTAGAAACTCCTACGTATACGCCTCCTGTTTACACTAAGCCGGTCTACTCCCAGCCCAGCAACTCATCAACCGTTGTGCCACCAGTTATCTCGACAACTAGTGACAAGGCCGTCTATACCCCACCAGTCTACACTAAGCCCGCCTACTCGGTACCAGGAAATTCCTCAACCGTAGACCCTATCATCTCAACTTCCACCAGCGCAGAAACGGAGACACCTGCTGAGACTACCAGCTCAGAGACCCTCCCAGTGATCCCAACCTACCCAGCATCCGAGGACGTTACCAGTACCCTGGACACAACGATTTACGAGACCGAGACCGAGACTCCCACAACGAGTGCTACTGAGACGCCCTATCCCACAACAACTTGAGCCGACTACTAGCAACCACGACAAGGCGGACAAGGTGCGGCTGTCAAGATTGGGCTGGGACTCAGCGCTTGAGTCAGTAACGACAATACTTTCGATGACATAGCTCCTTTGTACAGACAGCATTTTTTGGATTTGGAGTTGGTGGATTTTGTTTAATATCTAATTGGGGGTTCGGAAGAGTGTGACATAGATGCATACATGGAATGGTTAGGATACGAGACAGTGGTCAATACTGTTAATCTAGGGGGAGGGAGTATGGTGGATGATACGTCTTTGATGTACTTCGCTTCTATTTATTTGAGTTAAAAAGTATAATGTGTTCGAACGCTTCGAGATATTTTGTTCCCAGGTTACTCGGTCTGCATTATGAAGTTCAGGGTGCGTAATGAGGCTACTCCGGCACAGAATGCACCATCAATGTTAGTCAAACAGGATGAGAAAACTACGTCAGTAGTTATAAGTTCCGATATCACAGTCTAGGGGAGGAAAGAAAACCTGGGACTTTGATCCCAAGTGACGAAAAGACTTAGGTAACTTGGTATAACTTTAGTATAACTTTGGGATACAACTTAGGATACCTTTTGCTAAGTTTATCTTGATACACTGTATCAAAGTCTGATATTTTCTTGCCCCCTGAGCGAGGTCCAGAATAGTGGTCAATACCGTTAAAAGTAGGAGATGTTCTGAAGAGCTTTAATACTGTTACACTTCGTCGTTATACCTTAAGATTACCATATGGTTGCCTTCCACTTCAGACGCCTTAGAATTTGGGATCCCAACATGGAAACAAGTGCAAGGTGCAAGTTATCAATCTGTTATCTGTGCCTGTCTGTGATGATGTGAACGAACTGTTAGAAGTGACTGGGGTACAATAAAGTCCTCCGAATCCTGCACCAAAAGGGGTAGACGACATGGAAGGTGTGAATATGATCCGTAATGGGTTCGTTGCTGATAACTTTCCATCCTTAGTGTTTTTCTCCTCACTGATTTTCTTGCATGACGCAACTCGCCATCCGAATCTTTCCTCTCTCGTAGGGAGTAAGTAATGACGCAAGGTCAGTCGCAGACCACAGAAGCCTTGGCCAACACCATCTGAGAATCGTACCTCTGTCCATCAGCGGTGCCAGTCTTGTAGACAACTGGGGAGATGAAGAAAACAACCCGACTTCTAGGTGATACGACCTTCGTAGAGGCTACTGAATCCATGGCATTTTCATTCCACCTAGCAGCAGATTTGGGACTCTGGGATCGATCTCGCCAGTGAACTTGGAAAATCGCTTTGGAGCGCATCATCATCTCGTCAACTTCGATTGCTGAGTTCAGAATGTCTCTTAGTTGGTCGATAATTTTCCTATCACATCTGTCTGCCATAGACTGGTGAGTTGAATAAAATGGTCTCAGGAGCTTGGCTTCAGCGAGTACGAGACGTCTGAAACCACGGTCATCTCTTTCCCAAAGGCTGCCCATCATTGCTGAACCTTGGGCCAGCCACCGTGCAGCATGAGCGATAGGGTCATCACAGTTGGGGATATTAATACCATCTCCAACACGAGCTTTGAGGGTTAGAAATGCCATAACGGAAAGTACAAAGCATATACTTACTGATAATGCTATCACGAACAGCCTTGAATGACTTCAACTCAGGCCCACCCCAAACGGTCCGTCTGGCGTCGAACACGTTGTCTTGGACAGTAACCCATAGATAGCTCATGAGAATAAGCTCTCGGTAATCGTCGTCTTCGAGAAGTGTGTAATAGTCCCTGGAGATAAATCGTAGCCTCTCCCTAGCAACGTCGTCAAGTTGCTGCTGAGGAGAATTTTGGGCAAGGTGGCGAGCCAGACAACGAATATTGTAAGAGAGCTCCTTCCATTTGCCATGGATTGAATCATCGGTGGCTTTATGAGAGTTTGCCAGAGAACCACCGTCCAGAAGCTGGCGTAGCTGGTCTCTTTCGCGAAGAGCATCATCCAGTTTGGCATTTAATTTTTCGAGGATTTGCTTTTGTTTATGGGAGTGCTGGACTTGATTGCTGTAATCACCAGAGAGCTTCTGCAAGTTGTTTTTCTCCGTCTTCAGCTGAGCACGGAGTTCTGTAATGGTTGAGGCAGTCGGGGACTGAACAGGCTGAGCAGCGAGCCCCTTGAAGTAGTTGCAAATTCGATCCATACCGTTCTGTGACTCGCTCTGTACCATTTTAGCTAAGTTTAGTCTTTCAGTTGAAGAAATTCGACGAATGTCGTCTAAGAATGCAGCATTGGTCTCTTGCTGAACTGTGAAGACATCCTCCACAGTCCAGTCATTAGGCGTATTGCCAGCCTGCATGGGACCTGTGTGGCTTTGATGGTTGTCTTGTACTTCAACGCCAATTGGGTGATCAAGAGAACCAGAGAACTTCGGGACACTGCCCAAGATAGCATCTGAATCGTGTTCATGTTTTGTGGAAGGAGTGCTCTGGTCCATGTTGGTGTTAAGAGGTCCAGACACTTCAGTTTCGAGATCAAGAGGAAGCCCTGGCTTTAGGTTCGGGTTTTGAGCCTCCATAGTTCTTAGCTGGTGTAGAAGTGAGAATAAAAACCCGCAAAGTGCCTCCGTAGTCAATATCTAGAACACGTAGGAGTATATGCTGTGCCTAGGAAAGTAGGAGGATAGGACGTTCAAGAAAGCATTGCCCGGATCAATGACTGACGGTAGTATCTTGAGAGTAATCAGTGACGACTGATTTAGAGATGAAACATAAAGTTACCTGGGGTTGAGGACCCGATATGTCCTGGTTTAAAGAGCTCTGATCATGTAAAGTCTGTCTGTGGATGGAAAGACACCCATACCCCGGATCCAAGAGAACGGAGAAATATACCAGGAGATGGAGTAAGAGAAAAGAAAAAGAGAAGCAAATACGAGAGCCTACAGGGGGTGTCATTACTATGTTCTCAGAAACTTGGTAGCAAACACGGGAATCACCGAGTGCTTATGATTCGCATTGCAGTGACAATGAATCACTGCTGTTTGAACGTTAGAATCTCGGAGGTGGTAGCTCTATTTAATTCTGCCTCTCTACTTTTTTCGCTCTCCTCTTTCATTTCATCTCATGATTGAGCAGCTGACGGCTCATCTTTGATAGCATCTTTGTTTCACAACCTCTGATCACAGCATTGCCCTCAACGGTACAGAGCTTGAGACGCCTCTCTATCACCGAGAAGCATCCAAGATGACGACCAACAAGCCAGTCGATGATTTCATCATCATTGGACTCGACTTCGGGACAACGTGAGTTCTGCCTGCTCTCCTCTCTAGACGTCCAGGGATTATTTTCAAGCAACTGGCATCGCTAACGGTCAAACCCTCTCTAGGTACTCGGGAATTGCTTGGGCGTATTCTAGAGAACCGGAAGAGATCGAACTTGTCACAAGCTGGGACTCTGAGTTTAACCGTTGTTTTGACGTTGAGAAAGCCCCTACTCAGTTGCTCTACGACGACAACAAAGACACATCCTGGGGCTACTCAATCCCCGCCAGTGAAGATGCCCTGAAGTGGTTCAAGCTTCTATTGCTCGATAATGAGGATATTCCCATCAGTGTTTCGAGGTCCTCGCAGCTCCGCCATGCCCAAAAACTTCTGGATAAGACGAAGAAGGATCCAGTGGAAGTCATCGCTTGCTATTTACGAAAGCTCTGGAATCATGCCATTGACTCTATCCAACGAGCTGTTGGAGTGGACCTGCTGACAAAGTCACCATTTCACGTTGTGATTACCCTGCCTGCAATCTGGCCCCCTTACGCTCAGCAACGCATGAAGCAGGCTGCCAAAACCTCAGGTATTCTTGATGCTCGATTATGCGGTGAGACCAAACTTCGTTTCATCTCAGAGCCGGAGGCTGCAGCCCTAGCTACCATCAAGGATCTTTCGAAGAGGTCAACCATGAAGGTAAGATCCCAAGAACAGTTGTCAAGAGGATGAGCTGAGCATATCCAGATTGGGGATACGATGGTCATTTGTGATGCTGGAGGAGGAACCGTTGTAAGCTCGGCATGACCTCTCCTGAGCTGCCCAGCACACTAACATGCTGCAGGATCTCATCAGCTATCAAATTGAGTCAGTCTCCCCATTTGTGGTCAAAGAGTGTGTCAAAGGTGACGGTAAGTTCTTAAAGATACAAAAAAAAAAAAAAAAACACAGACACCAACTTATCTCTTAGGGGGACTCTGCGGAGGCGTTTTTCTTGACGAAAGGTTTCTGAAGCTCATCAAACGAAAGCTCACGCGTGGGTCATGGGACAGCGTCACCTCTGTCGAGGAGAAAAAGTTCTTGAACGAATGGTGGGAGCATGGAATTAAGCCTCAATTCTCTAACCAGAACAGGGACTGGGTCATCGACCTACCTGACAATTGCAATGCCACGAGCTCCAGCGGAAAGCTCAAACGGCGAAAGACGCTGGAACTTAGCTCGTAAGTTATATCAGGGTCAGGTTCTTCCTTCGAATATTTCCTCATCTCCTTACAGAAGTGACATTTTGTCTGCATACACTCCTATCGTCGACAAGATTGAGGGGCTTGTTCGTCGACAGGCTCAGGCTGTCAAGTCAAAGCTTGGGAAGCCAGCAAAGGTAACAAAATAAGAACAACCCAGGCAGAACTGTAGCAAGCTGACACAAATAGTACATCATTCTCGTCGGTGGCTTCGGTCGTAGCTCGTATCTGTACGACAAGCTTCAGCGTGCCTTTTTTGAGAGCACAGTCCTACAGTCGCGCGGGAACAAGCCGTAAGTGTTTGGAAAAAGTTTGTGGAGATGTTCTGACGATTGAAAATAGCTGGTCAGCTATTTGCCGCGGCGCTGTAGTCCACGGCATTACACACCACGGCCTCTCGGCAACCCTAGGTGTGACAGTAGGCGCACGGGTAGCTCGAAACAGCTATGGAGTAATGTTCGATACCCAATTTGATTCGCAGAAGCACCATCGAAGCGACAAATGTTGGTCGGAAGAAGAACAGGAGTGGCAAGCTACGAACCAGATGCAGTGGTTTCTGCGGGAGGTATGCAACGTGGCGTCACTTGAGAGAATGATATTCTGACTTTAGTGATAGGGCGACAATATGTTGACTAAGAAGCCTGTTCGACATAACTACTACCGACTGTTCTCTGAGCGTATCAGCCATGTGTCTGAGACCATCTACATCTGTTCTGAACCCACACCCCCTGAAACTTCGGGGCCAGCGGTGAACGAACTATGTGAGATCCGCTGGACACGCAACATCAACCTCGAGTCTCTCCCAACCTACACCAACTCCCTAGGCAAAGTTTACCACAGGCTCAGCTTTGATATCGAGATGACCTGTGAGGATGGAACCGTGGACTTTACAGTCTATTACGAGGGCAAACGTGTCGGTGCTCACAACGTCGATGTCCAGTTTCGTTAAGGCGGCTGGATTCTGGGAATTCTTGATATGGAGACATGAAGTATGGCTGGACATCCAAAAATTGCGATGAAAGTTTTCATGCGCTTCGCGCAATTTAAAACTTGCTTGCTCTGATGTTTTAGGTGAACTGAGTGTAGAACCAATTCAGAGAATTGATCAAAAACGTGTCTCATGATTCGAAGTACTCGGAATAGCTAATACTGATATCACAGTATATGTAACAACCTAACAACCTGCGCTTTCGTTATTCCATGGCATCATTCATATCCCTTCCATAGCCACGTCTTGTTGCGCCAGTGACCCCTCAGAGTGTGGCTCCTTATCCACCTTTTCGATATCACCGTTCACCTTGTTGTTATCTCTGATGTGTCGATAAACCTTGACTGTGTTGTCCTGCCCTCCGGTCACCATCGTCTCTCCATGGACATCCACCCAGAAGCACACACCCTTGTGACCCTCTACTCTTTGTAAGACTGTCTTTGATACTACGTCCCACATGACGATGCTGCCGTCCTCGCTAGCAGATGCAATGAAAGGAGCCCCCTCCAGAACTCCGAAACAGCCACCCACAGCGAACTTCTCATTGGTGTGGCCTTGATATGTCTTTTTAACGGTACCAGAAACATAATCCCATAGGCGAATGCAGTTGTCAAGGTTGAAAGCCAGGACGAAGCGTCCGTTAGGGGAGAAGCAAACATTGGCGACAGCCGGGTTGTCTTCATGAACAAGGGTGCGTAAGCACTGGCCTGTTGATGTATCCCAAATGCGACTATATACTTGTTAGCAAAATGAACCAGCTGAAGCTTCGGGAGCCCATACATCAAACCATCTGTCGAGCAACTGACGACCAGCGTGCCATCTCGAGAAAAGTCAACCCCACTGACAGGATCGCTATGTGCAGGTAAACTTCGCATCAGCCTGCCCGCTCGTACATCCCACAGGAACACAGCTTCATCGTATGAACCACTTGCAAGGATGTTGCCCTTTGGCGAGAATGCCAAACAGTGAATATAGTTATGATGACCTTTCAACGGCCCCATTTCTTGACCGGCTACCGATTTTCGAGTTGTGGTTTTTGGCCGGCCTGTAACGCGATCCCATAAACGAATGGCTTTGTCGTCTGAACCACTTGCGATGGTGTTGCTATCAGGTGTCCAAGCAAGACAGCTCACGCCTGCCATGTGCCCAACTAGTGTATCCATGTGTTCGCCTGTTGTAGCGTCCCATATCTTGACAGTAGCATCCGCTGATGCAGATGCGATGAATTTTCCATTAGGTGATATTCGGACCTGAGAGACAGGCTTGGTGTGACCATGAAGAACAAGGCGGGCACGATAGTTGGGCTTGAAAGGTTCTGGAGGAGGAGTTGGTTCAGCCCCCTGCGGGGAGAGGGAGTCTGTTCGGGAGCGACGAAAGGATAGTTGCGAGCGTGAGCGTGAACGTGAAGAGCGGGGTGAATGTGATCGTGTTGTTAATCGGGATCGCGATCGCGAGTGTCTACGGGAGTCTATACTAGAGAGAGACCGTGACCTCGACCGTGATCTCGATCGTGATGTACGACGACTTTCGTAATATTTGTTTCCAGCACCATCTTCACCAGGACTTGGGCTGATGGTCCTGCTATTGCGGCGGTTGTCTCGTATCGATAGTTGGCGAGACGGTCTAGGTGACCGATCGTTGTCTAGGGCGTCGCGTTGCGGCGCGTAAGGAGGAGAAGAGTCGCCGCTTGTTTTACGACGCTTATTCCGGGGCGAATCACTGGGGCGATCGTCTTCAGAGGCCATTGCAAGGTGAAAATGCGGCTGATTCTTTAATGATGCTAGGTCAAGGGTGGAAGGTAGTCGTGACAAGGCTGACGAGTTTGGCGCTCGAGTGAGATGGAATTATCTGGAGGTGGGGCACGAGGCTGAAAGACGTCACCCAATGAATGCACAAACAAATGTGACAAAGAACGAAACAAAGAACACAAGATTAATGCAACTAAAAATAGGGACTAATCTTACTCGAGTCGGCGCATAAAATGAATAGTGATCAAACTTTGAAGGTCGCATTGCATGAAATTGCACTTCCTAAAATTATACCGTCAGTGATTCAAGGAGCGCAATTAACTGACAAGCTGTTATTGGTCGGCTCGAAAAGCCACTCCTGAAGATCCGGAAACTACCATAGTTTGGGGAAATGGGGGGAAAGGGAATCATTTGGCTTGTGGAGTGAAGCAATCAACTTCCAACTTGGGCAATTCTGAGGTACTCATCTCCGGGGAACCCAATCACAGAGAAGCATGTTTTCGGCAGTTGATGTCACTGAGGCAATCGATGCCCTGATTCATGGAAAACTCAAGTTTGGGGGTTAAAGTTTACTGGTAGCAGTGGATGCTTCAGGATGCCCCTATCGCCCTGAGCTTGTAACAAGGCTCGGGGGGTAACAACACTTCATACTATGGAGAAGCTTGTCAAAATAAACACATCAAGAGAGTTAAGAGACCTCTGTGTATTTAAGCCAACTTACCTAGGTCTTACATGAATCTTTTTCTCATCCAGAATCAAGATCTTTAGTTTCATTGGCTCCCCAAGCATGTAAGGCAGACCCTTATTGTCCGACAGAACCTTGAGTTTTGACCCTGGCGATATTAAGAGATGATAACCTCGTTGGTACGGTTAGAAAGAAGCTTTCGGTATCATCGTCTCTGAGACCGGGGCGAGAGGGCGTCCAGTAGTTCAGCCACGGCGTTCAATCTGCGACATTTTGGTGTATTGTATATTTTCCATTGCGCCGTGCTGAATCAACTGCTGGACCCCTTTATTACCATGGATGGAGCGCAGTGTTTAGACCGGTTCAGCTGCAGCTGGCGACGATTGTATAGGCAATAAGAGTGCTAGGCTAGGATCTAGATTTTTGCATGCTATTGGAAGCGGTCAAGAGTTTTGATGTTGGGATGCATTGGTCAGTTCTTGACTTCTGTGAAAGGGGGATATTGAACCTGCAGCCACTACTTTCGGTTCAGACTTCAATTCAGGCTATTGATCGCGTGCCGCGCCGTTTACCATGAAAGAAACTACCCGTGGCGTCTCTGAAGTGTCCCCTTTTGTTTGTTTTGACTCAATCTTGAAAAGAGAAGGATCTGGTCTTACAATAGTGGGCTACTCTGCCTGCGGCATGAATTGCATTCGAACTGATTCGGGACTAATGTGTTGTCGCGGCTGAGACTAGCGATTTGGGGACCATCGTGGCCATTTTGCTTATTCCTAGTGTTATCTCTATTCAAGTCATCCCTTGTGTGTCAGTTTCGTAACCTGAGTGCAAATCCATGCCAAGCAGCCAAGTATCAGACATTCCGTGACCGACATGGCCGTGAGACATTACTCATAGACTTGCCAACATTCCGGCGGCATAAGTCGACCATTCCATGGATTTCGAGCTTTTCATTCTCACTCGAGGGCTTCTTTAACATCGAAATATCGATCTGATCGTACAGAGGCGCTCTGGGCATCTCGATCTAAGCAATCTTAAGGTCTTGGCCACGAGTCGGGACAATTTCTGGAAACGTGCCAGTAAAGTTACCCAAACCGCTGGTGCAATTTAGCAAGAATAGTGCAATGTGGCGTAAGTAAACCTCCGTTCCGTTAGCCAAGATACCTTAGGGAGCTGCTATTAAGCGTTAAGCATACCGTCTGTATAGTGACATGGAGTGGAGGTGACGCTAAGGCATGTCGCTAGCACTACCTATTGTACTGCTCAGCTGTGGCTGTTTGGAGTCAACGCTGTTCTACCAACCGTTTGACCAAGTGCGGTTCAGGCGTCTGCATTTGATTCGTTCAAAATTGCTTGATTTAATTGCATTAAGTTGACATTGCGTGTTGAGATGTTGATAGGTGGTTCAGTGGTGCTCTAAAAGATCCGGATGATATCTTTGACTCTCTGGTCTGTAATTTGCTCTTCAACTGCAACAGACTATTGGAACTTACCTAGGTAGCTAGACCTACAGCCTGCAAGGCTTCCACAATGTGATCTTCAGCACACACCTCTTAGAGCACGTCATTCTTGTGCCTGCTGAATTGGGACTCGCCGTCCATTTTCGAGGCAAAATCTTCAAGGAGTATTGTGTACTCTGTATCGCAGATTAGATGCGGCGTGGCTATCGGTTCCATTGGTGGATGGAAGTCAACACCAATAGTCAAAAGGTTCTGGCGTCAGCGCATTATCGAAGCGGAGTGGGCGAGGGTCCTTGCACAAGGGGGCCAGCAGATGAGCTGACCCATATTCTTTATGGGGCTAGAAACGCTTTGGCCATGAGGGGATTATTGAGCTTGAAGCGGCTGGAGTGACTTGAAATCACTGGATGAGAAAGCTGAGTGATGTGCTAGGAGTTGTGACTCGGCTGTGGAACTCTCACCGAAGCCATCTCGCATAAATGAATTAATCATCCTGTTTTCAGGGCATGTTGGTTTCTCATGCAGAGACTGCTGGTATTTGGTGATTTGGTTGTGTGCCACTGTGCTCGAGCCGAGTAGTTAAATTACTCCGTGAGCCATCGCCAACAGCAATGCCGGCAGATCGGAAATGGTGCCATAATGCCCCGTGATCGTTTCAACGGCTCAATTTCCTTTGACTTCAACGTCACAAACGATCGTCAAGCAGCACATACCACGTAGTATCGTAGGTTTAGGTATGCCAACAGGCTCTTGTTAGTCACTGGAGCCGTTGTGCGCCGAACTCGCCTATTTGATACCTATCGAGAGGTCCATGCCAAGCCAGTACAGGAATAAGCAGCCCTACAAGAGCCACAGCGGCTACACAGGGCCTGTAGAAGATTGTTTCTTCAGCAAGCCCAATCGTTTGAAAGAAACGGCATACAAACTATTTGGTGTGGCAGACTACTCGAATTTTACTGTAAGCCTATGGAAAATTGTTCGCTGATCAACACTTAGCTAGGCGAGCTGCATTGAGATATGAACCAGCATCAAGCTTGATGAATACTAGAGTAGAGTTCTACATAGGAG